AATTAAAATATTTGTTCTATATATTTGTTCTTAATTTCTAGTTATTTTTACTATTTTAATTTTTATTCTGTCAACTTCAATGTGAAGATGGCCATGTAATAAATAACAACTTATTTAATTTTTATATATTTTATCATTTTAATTTTATAATTATAAAAAGTATCTCGATATTTATATTTTTAAATATTTATTTGTTAATTTGTTTTTTTTTTTATTTTTCTCATGCCAATTATTAGTCTTGCTTGTTATATTATTCCGTTATTTTTCAGAAAATTCAAAATTACATGAATAATAAATAAGAGATTTTATATTTATTAACGTCGTAAAAAATAAACTTATTCAAGAAAAGTACTAATACTCTTTTGATTATACTGATATTACCCTTTGATCTTAAACTTATTAAAATCGATATCGATACTTATAACAATAGTATCAATACTACCCTTTATAATATCGATACTGTCATAATCCAACGGCTATAGTTTTAATTTTAAACAGGTAGTATCGATACTACTGTGTTCTAAGTAGCTTCTTTTGCAAGAATTAAACTCCCAACGATTATAGTTTTAATTTTAAACAAGTAGTATCGATACTACTCTGTTATAAGCAACTTCTTTTGCAAGAATTAAACTCCCAACGACTATAATTCAACTCTCACAACTTCAAACGACTAAAAACTCATTTCAACATATAAAAACAATCTAAAAACACTTGAAGAAAGTTACTACATCTATCTAAACTTAAAGATCAAAAAAATAGAGTTTTCATTCTTTATTTCTTTATTTTCTCTTGTGCATAATGTATTGAGCTTTATTGAATATATTTGTATAAATTTTTTGTGAGCTAAAATTTGTAAATATCTACCTTGAGAGGTTTTTTTGTTTATCAATAACTTTATGGATCATTTGTTCTAATAAAGGAAAACATCTACCTTGAGAAGTTTTCTTGAAATACCTATTAATAGCGACGTATTTCGACAACTTTATGTTATCACACGAGGTGCATGATGGCACGAGCGACCTTATGGATCATTTGTTCTGATATAACATGTATATGGATATTTTGGAAGCTTTTGATGAGCTCAAACGTAAAGTCTTCTCAATCACCCTCCAAAGAGGTATTCTTAACTAGTACTATTCTCTTCCTCATAGTTCTATTTATGATTTTAGAGTACTGTCACAATATTTTGTAGGACACTTCTTTACCAATAAGATCACCATCAAGTCTGGAGTAACTCTCCTTAAAGTAGTGCAAGAGCCATGTAATCCCTTTAGGATTACGTTTTGGGGTTCAGTCAAACCACTCATAATAATAAGGATTGAAGTAAGATCTAGAAATTGTTGCTTTGTGTCAAGTTTGACACACGAACACTTGTGTTACACGATCGTGGAAAGAAAGTTGGACAGATTAAACAATATATATAAAATGAAGACCGAAGAAATCGTGTGAATAGTAAGCTCTACTCAAAACCAAACTCCGAGTACCAGTAGGACCATCTTATTTACAAAAAAAACAACATAAACCTTAGCCAACCTTCATTCAATACGACATTGACCCAAAATAATAAAAAATATTATTTTTATTTAATAAAAATATTAATTTAATTAAAAAAATATAATATAGAAAGATATTATTATAATTATTCATAAATATATAAAGTAAAATTATTTTTTCGGATCAGGTCAAATATTTTTTATTTTAAATCTAAATCCGACCCGACTCGAACATCATCTTTAAAAAAAATCCGACCAGATTTTATGTCCATCCCTAGTCAATTCAGTCCCCATTATATGCGTCATAAACCAATTTAACATCTTTTAACAGGTTGGATTCACAATCTATCCATATCTATATCTATATTGCCTTTTTTTTTCCTTTCAAATCTTGGTGACTTTGTCCTATTTCTTTATGGACCTTTTCAAGTTTATAAATAGGAAAATAACAAAAGCATTTGAAAATGTGTCTTCTCTACCTCATCTTTAGGGCACCATATGGCAGAAGCTATAGCCAAAACCTGCAAAGTTTGACCTAAAAATGAACCCACCCAACCTAATACAGTAATAAACATTAGTTTAATTAGTTCATGTATAGAGCAGTTCATATTTCAAATTTCTTTCTTGAACTTATTTCTAACTCAGGCTTTTAGTTTAATTAGTTCATGTATTATTTTTCGAATCGAACCTTTCATGGTAATTTTTATCTTCTCTTATTCAAACCAAAAACATCTTTAGGCATTTGATGGCAAGAGATTTTGCAGGCAAACTTTATAAAGATGCCTGATGGAGAGAAAAGGGAAATGAAAGTGGAATAAAGTTGCTGTATCATTGCATAAATGAAATTTTCATAAAGATTTTGCAGGAATTATCATTGGGGATATGCAGAGGAAACGAAATGATTGGGGATGTTAAGGTAAAAGCAATGAAAAAAAAAGGTTGAAGGATATCCTAGGGATTGATGGGAGCATGAACATGAAGAAATATATAGCAAAGGGATATTCAAAGATGGAGTAGGGTCCAAACTTTGACTTTGCCAAACAGCATCTAAGAGTATTTTCAACTTTAATTAACCCTTTTTCAGACTATATTTTGGAAGAATATAGAAAAGGGGATGCTGGTCACATCTTACGTTTTTTCCTGCATCTTATCGGTTCTGGTTTTACCTATCCATTTGGGTTGGATTTGAACTATAATATTAGTGGCCCAAGCTTAGCTCTACCCTACTGATTTTTCAACTTTTTAATATGCTATTTATTTTTATATAGTAGGTAATTTAGATCGTATATAAATGAAATAAATTATATATTACATTATAATGTAAATATTAAAGTATATATTTAAAATTTTAATAGAATATTTTATTAAGTTAAATTTTGTTTAAAATCTCTATTAATATTAAATCTTTAAGTGAATTAATGCCAACTATTAATTGAAAATTAACTTTAAAAAATATTAAAATTTAGTTTTAAATTAAAATAAATATTATTATAATGGTATTCTGTCCTTTCATATTTTATATATAAAATCACACAATAAAATAACTAATGTGTTTTAAAAATGTTACTATAAGAATATTTTTCTTCTTATATTTTTAAATAATCTTTAAACAAAATGATAAAAAAATTATTTAAGAAATTAAATGTCCAAAAAATTAATATGATTGATAAAATATATATTATCACTTCACTTATATTTTTTTTTGTTAACTTTTATAAAATAAATAAATTACTGACCCTTATTCCTATATGTAATGAGGTAGGGGGAGGTAAGATAGTAGGTTGCCCCCAACGTCAGGTTGAGAGCAGCTTCCGTGGGAAACCTCCTTATATGAAATGCCCTCCGTGGGACTCGATCCCACGACCTCAAGATTAAAAACATTGTGCTCTACCAACTGAGCTGATTGATTATTTCATAACTTTTATAAATATATCTTTAAATATAAAATGTTTTTCTTTCATCTTATTCTAAAAGTGGAAAAATTATTAGATGGACTAGGTTAACTACCTTATATATGGTATTAGTTAGAGGTGAGCGTTTGATTGAGTCGAGTCAAAATTTTTTAAATTATTCGAGTTGACGAGTCATATTTTATAATTAGGAGTTAACTTGAAATTTTTTCGAGCCGAATCAAAATTTTGAGTTTCTATTTAAATTTAATTGTAAATATTTACAATATTATGACATCATTTAATTCTTATTTAAATTATATTTTATAATCATATACAATATATATATATATATATATATGTTTTTTTGTATTTTTTTCATATGTGATTTACATATATCATACAAAGTCGAGGACTTGACTCAAGCTTCGACCTAAACTTGAAAATCAATCTACTAATTAGTAAATTTTTCGAATTATTCGAGTTGTATTTTACAACTCGATTTGAACTTGAAAATTTTCGAGTCGAGTTTATGAAATTACAACTCGAAGTCGATTTGAGTCAAGTTTTTTCAAGTGTAAAAAATCGGTTTTTCAATTTGTGTCGAGTTTTGCTACTCCTATTCCTGGTCAATAAAATTTATACATCTTATGTTTTTTTTTAAATGAATCTTTACCTCTTTCCTACATGTAAATAAAAAGTTGGTAGTTATTTAGAAGTTATTTTGAGATTAATGTATCTTATTAGCTGATATCACATATGACATGGTGAACCGAATTCATATAATATTTTTTTCGTAAAAGTGACACAATCTAATTTTAATAAAAGGGAAAACATATTAAATTATTATATATTAAATAAAAAATCATAAAATAAAAATTAAAGTGGACAGATTTAAAATAACTTTGAGTTTATATACAAAAATACATGATATACATGAGATGGAACTTATATTTACCTTTCGAAAATGCAAGGAGTAAAAAAAATACAAATAAAATTTTTAAATTTGATCTCATCAATTTAATCTAATAATTATAAATAAGTATAAATCCTATCTCAATGTAATAATATTACGTTTTCAACCCGACCCGATCATACCATGAGAGCGCCTGTTTTTTAAGCGTTTCAGCCAGGTCTCCCCTTTTAAACAGAAATGAGAAGTTTTGGTTGTTTTCAACTAAACGTTGTCGTTTAAGTTTTATACAATCGTACGGAACCCTAAAGCTTTAATGCTTATGCGTCAAGCCTGGTGTTTCAAGTCTTCTCCTTTCAAATTAAAAGGTTCCCCTTTCCATATTCAGCGGAAAATCCGCATTAAGGATTTCAGGTAATCTACTAATTTTCACCTTAATGATTTCTTTTGTGTGTGTGCGTGTTTTTTGGGGACTGTTTGCTTATCTTGCTTATTTCGATTATGTACCTGTTTTTCGATGATCAAGGTTCTTATGAGAAGAAAACCAGTTAGTCTATGTTTTTTAACCCTTTTTCTGGTTGAGTTTTTAAATGATTCTATTCTACACTTACGTTAATGTTTTCTAGTTTTGATTTTTGACTCGTTAACACTCAAATTTTCTACATATAATAAACTGGGCGAAGCTGATTTCATGTGTTACTGTCTTTAGGGTTTGAATACCCTTTGCGGCATTTGTTTCTGTGAATTTCTATCCAAATTTCATTTTTTTAATCTGCATTTTTATCAATATTTAAAGCTGATGGTGGGATTTTCGTGCTATTTTGGTGGGATTTCTTTCCTCTTGCATAAAGGCAACATGTAATCTAAATGTGATTCCAGTTTTCTCTCTGATATTGATAAATCAGGTTATCTAATGTTGTGTCTCTCTCTCGCCACTGCTTATGGGCCACTCTGATTTCTTGATTTTGTTGTTTGCTGTCGGTGTGCGGTGTACTGCATATATTACAGCTGCTATTATCGCATCATTACGGCTAGTCAATTCCTTGTGCTCATTCTGACTAAGTGAAGAAGGTTGGCAATTGGGAAAAACTATCATGGGCTATGCACAACTGGTTATTGGTCCTGCAGGCAGTGGGAAGGTGAGTTGGTCTATCAACTATCACATTCGGGGTTTGAAATAACTATTGCTTTCTTCAGTCTGCTTAGCTAATTATTTTTTGTTTGCATCATTTATTTATACTCAAGTGATTTTGTATTTTTGGTATCAGTCAACCTACTGCTCTAGCCTGTACCAGCATTGTGAAACCCTTGGACGGTCAATACATATTGTGAACCTAGATCCTGCTGCAGAAAATTTCGACTATCCAGTAGCCATGGGTACTCAACCTTTTGCTTGAGTGTTTCTCACTGGTTTCAACATTTTTTCTGGTTTTATTGCAAGGATGTTTTGTTTGTTTTTCAGATATACGAGAGCTCATTAGTTTGGATGATGTTATGGAGGAGCTTGGATTGGGTCCAAATGGGGGCCTTATGTACTGCATGGAGTATCCTTTCTTTTTTTCTTGTCTTGTTCTATATGTAGAATTTATATTTTTCTTCACCTTCCTATTACTTTGATTGTTTTGTTACTGGAAAAGACCTTTCTTTCTTTTCTGCTTATCTTATGCTGCTACATCATTGTATCAATATTTATTATTGATGGTGCTTTGAGTGTTATGGAACTTTCTGCTGGCTAACTTTTTCTACCTGCCAATGTTTTCAGCTTTGTATTTTGTCATATGAAGAGCTGCATTTTATTCCTTTCCTAGTTAGATTGTGAGAAAAGAAATATAAACCTTAATCACCAACTAGACATCTTGAAGATAATCTTGATGATTGGTTGAATGAAGAATTGGACAATTACTTGGATGATGACTATCTGGTGTTTGACTGCCCGGGTATCTATTCTTTCTTGGATGTCTATGTTAGTAATCTGGCAGTAAAATCTGGAAAAGTAATTTTAAGTTTGTTACCTTTTACTTTGGAAAAGTTTACACTTTGCATCTTATGTTATTGAGTTAGGCTGTCTGCCATAATATATTCTCTCTTGAACACTTCTAGAAATGGGATAATCTTGCTAACCTTCAGTTATTTTATATAGGTCAAATTGAACTTTTTTCACATGTGCCTGTGCTCCGCAACTTTGTGGAGCACTTGAAGCGTAAGAACTTTAATGTTTGTGCTGTATACTTGCTTGATTCCCAGGTTTGCAAAGATCTCCATCTTTCAAAATTTGAGTCTTCTATTCAAATTTAGTTGTGTTGTCTTCATATTTGGTTATGTGCATTTACCATGTCTATTTTTTGTCAGTTTGTCACGGATGTTACTAAGTACATAAGTGGATGCATGGCATCACTTTCTGCAATGGTCCAGCTTGAATTACCTCATATTAATATCCTCTCCAAAATGGACCTTGTAACAAACAAGAGGGAGGTTGAAAAGTGAGTATTGGTGTATTTTATTGAAATATTCTCCAACCCGGAGTCCCTTTTTTTTCTTCCATATTTTCTTTTTCTTATTTTTAATCAATGTCTTTGTTATTCATAGGTACTTGGATCCAGAGCCGCATCATCTACTGTCGGAGTTGAATGAGCGGATGGCTCCTCAGTTTAAAAAGCTAAACAAATCTTTGATTGAACTGGTGAGATGGTTTGTCACTTAGGATCTAATATCTACTTTTGGTTGGCTATTTGGAGTTTTCTGATTTTTTAAGGAGGGGGCATTTCATAAATGCATATATGTATATTAACTAGTAATTCAGAAGAAAGGGGTTTGAATTAATTTATTATATATAAATACAAATATTTTTGTTAACAATTGTTGTTAAAACTTGTCATATTATTGTTTCTTTGCATATCAGGTGGATGAGTATAGCATGGTCAGCTTTATTCCCCTTGACTTGAGGAAGGAAAGCAGGTGCATTGTCTCTCTCTTTCTCTAAATGTATTCCGTTTAACAAATTAAGTTCTTTTTAGTTTTAGTTTTCACTTGATATAATGGTGAACTGTCGCTATTTTCACAGCATAAAATATATATTGGCGCAAATTGACAACTGCATTCAATATGGTGAAGATGCTGATGTGAAGATCAGAGATTTTGAAGAAAATAACGATGACGAGTAGGCCTGTTGGTGCTGCGGAAAAAGCATTATCTTTGTTCAGAATTTTCCCATGTAGATAACTGAAGTGAAAACCGTATGAAAACTGGAATTTGGAAAGATGACACATTGAACTAAATATTTTGGTGCCATGAATGCATCACTTTCCGGATTTCTTGTTCACTTCTTTATTTGTTGATGACTCGATGAAAACATTGTTTCTCAACCGCTGAAACCTTGTTCTCAAATCAGTAAAACGGCTAAAAAACATGATTACACTCAAATTTGGCTCCATCACTTTTGAATTGAAGTGGATCATGCATTGATCGATACATTCGGAAATTTCTCTACGACGAGATCAAATCATTGTTTGTTCTACACATGGGGCTACAAACTGGCTCCAACTGATTCGATCTCATCCTTCCCTCTGCAGACTGAGACTAGCAGAGTTCGATCCTCCATCTCTTTCCGTTTTATTTCTTCAAATTATTCATCTGTTCACCTGATTTCATCTTTTGCTCTTTCTTCTGTTGTCGAATATAAGTACCAACTTGGGTGAACTCAATTTCTCTTTTAATCATTTACCGTGTTCAATGCATGATTCTTTCCACAGCTCGCTCTTGAGCGCATTAATTTCTGACAATAATCTCCAAGGTGGAACACCGATATCCCTGAGGTCCGATTTCTGCTCATATGCTTGTAATAATATAGTGTGTGTACAAGTTTACTGAACATTGTAAATTAGTTTTATACTAATATAAATAAATCCTTCTGCACTAACATAAATAAAGTACTTTGGCTACGAGCTCGATTGAACAAGATCAAGTAGTTCAATTTTTATTATGGATATAACTCAATCTCTGAAAATGAACTCAAAGATACTATAATTGCAAAGGGTAACAATCTGTCTGCAACAACATTGCTCGAGAATCAAAATGTCAAAATAAAGGTATTCTCCACTCATTGTTTCAACCTGCCAGAAAGAATAGACGACTGGATTAAGCAGTTTACGGGCATCAATCGATCAAAAGGTGAATTGATGAAAAAAATCTCCAAACAAACCAAAAAATGATTGTACGCGAACTAGCAAAATGAATTAAATTAACTTGGGAAACAGAAGTTTTTATCATGAATTAACCATATCATAAAGTCCTAAATTCTCAATGAAAGAACCAATGAATAAAGGTGTTCAGTACACACGTCTGACGTGGCCAGATCAAATTCCATTTCCTTGCAACCTTTTCAGGTGAAAAGTGTTTCCCAATCTGTAAACTAAAGAGTAAGTTCCTACCCAGAATATGCCTATTGGTCACAACTCTAACTACTAAAGGCATTCCACAACCAAAAAGCTTGTTTTGCGCCCGACCAGAAGACCACCAATAACAGAAGAAAAAAATAGAACAGAGTAAAAGAGAAAAGGCATAGTGAATCCTCATCCCAAATTTAGACACTGATGAGACTGAAGCCTTCAAATTCCCATCTTAGAGAGAGCAAAATGCAAGATAATTGCACTTGCCCAATGTCACTAGTGCTTAATCATACATTATAATTATTTTTTACTCAAAGAGTACAAACAGCATAAATACTTGTTATTTCTACCAATTCGGGGAATCCATAAAAGCCTTTTGTTTCTTAGTATATAAGGAAGCTCGTTGAGTTTTGAACTGCACTGATGGAGTATATAATCACCATATACCATAAAAATTATGAAGCATCCACAAGATAGTGGTCAATACAACAAGTGGATGTACATTATGTATATAATCATCATATACCATAAAAAATTTGAAGTAGCTACATGATAGAGGTCGACACAACAAAAGGAAGTACATTGTGCCTATCCCCAAAGATTAATTTTTTTTAAGTACCAACACGACAGGTCAATACAAGTTTAACATTCTTGCATCTAATCCATATCATGCGATTAGAAATTTCCTCTACAAATCATTAGTATTTGAAAGCCAAACCAACAAAAGATGAAGATATGCAGTAAATTTGCCAGAATTTCACTCTTTATATTCCAAATGCATTCCACAAAATGTAACATTTAAGAACTTATTTTTTGCAAAACTAATGCTATTATATACGTACACCTACACATGCTAAAACACAAACAAATAATATTATCAAGCGAAGCATCAAATTTAACCAGTTAATCGACTATAAAAAAAATCAATAGAAGTTAAAGTTTCTAGTTCAGAAGAAATTTAGGAGCACCTGATCTGGATTTGGATTCTTCGTAGGGAACGGATTCCAGATTCGAAACCCTAGCTTCTAAAGCATCAAATTTCTGCTTCATCTGCAATTTTGTTAAAATAACAAATAAATTAAAATCAAATAATACTAATGCAATTACTAAAACTTCTTGGAGAGGATTCATATTCCAGAGACCCAAAAAAAGGAAAAATGTTAGTACATAAGATTTAAGGGCGTAACGTTCGGTCCATAGGTCTTTATATATGAATTGAGAGATTGAAGCCGATGTGACCGAAAACCCAAAGGTGAACCATAGCAGCCGACTTCGAATCATTTTTCCAAGAGAAAACAGCCAGAATCCTGAATAGAGAGGAAGAAGATCAAAGGTTTTGTTTTCGTAACTTGTTTTTGGGCTGAATTTCAGCCCAAATTTCATTCTTGGTAATACTTTTTTGTACATTGAAAATTTAGTCCTTCTAATTTCATTTCTAAGAATTTAGTTAAATTCAAATCCAATTATTAATATCATAAAAATATATTGGTAAATTCAAATGTGATTTTTTTAATAAAAAAATTATTAACTTCGAAGTCATGTAACCATAAAATTAATTTTGTAATAAACATAAATTTAATAGGTTTTTTAACACAACTAGATTTGAATTTTTAAATTTGAAAAGTATAGAAATTAAATTCCTTAAAATAAAAGTAGAGAAAAATCCAAAGGAAACCTTCTAATTTCATTTCTAAGAATTTAGTTAAATTCAAATCCAATTATTAATATCATAAAAATATATTGGTAAATTCAAATGTGATTTTTTTAATAAAAAAATTATTAACTTCGAAGTCATGTAACCATAAAATTAATTTTGTAATAAACATAAATTTAATAGGTTTTTTAACACAACTAGATTTGAATTTTTAAATTTGAAAAGTATAGAAATTAAATTCCTTAAAATAAAAGTAGAGAAAAATCCAAAGGAAAGAGTACAGGGATCTAAAGTCAATTTTAACATGCTTAAAATTTTTGATTGGATGTAAAAAGAAAAAGAGTTTAGGGACTTTTGGAGCATATTTCAAAACATTCAATAAAGGTGAAACATGTTTAGATGTACGAGTCAACTGTTTCCCAAGTCCTTAAATATTAATTTTGTCGTTACCATATTTTGTCCGTACCAAAATTTTAGGCCCAAATTTAAACCCAATATGCAAACTAAAACCAAGACACATTAATCAACCCCAAGATTTACCCAAAATCCAAATCCATTTAAACCAAGCCAAACACGGTTAATCCATCAATCTTTCAACCTCTCCCACTCGCCAATTTCTCTATTTTCATGGCACCAAAATCTCCATGAATCTCGGCCAGTTAAAGAACCAAATTTTGAGGCATTATAAATGATGATCAGTTACAATGAATAGGGGGATTTGGCTACTGCACAGAGAGTACAGTGTCAAATAAAAACAAAGAAAATGAGACTGAAAAGAGAGGTGCCGTGGCTTTTCGGCCGTAGCTCAAAATCGTTCCGTTCATTAATCCGAACGGTTAAACAGTAGGCGACGACGTGAGAATCAACATATTCTGATCACAGCTCGATTCAACGGAAGTTCCATTTTGATTTTTGTTAGCCCACGGAAATTCACGTCACTTTTAAGCATATTTCATGTTTTCTAAAGGTATCAGGAAGTTGTGAACGTACTCTAACATTTCCCACATGTAATTGACTCTCGAAATTATTTTATTCAATTTTAAATGCAAATCCAATTTAAAGGTATTCATTTGTACCTAGCCCAAATGACTAATAGTGACTCATGTTTTCAAAATATATTTATTTGCCATGACTATTTTCAAACCACCAAAATGGTTTCTACAAATTCTGCTTTAAATTAGTCCATAAAAATCTTAGCGTTTTAATGTCACCCACAATTTATGACTCTCATTTTAGATTAGTCCTCAAACTTTTAAACATTTTAATTTCATACTCAAACTATGACAGTTATGCTAAATTGCTCCTCAAATGATTGAATATTTTAAGTTCATCCAAAATTATTGATATATGTTAATCACATCGTCTATTTTTAATACCATTAGGCCAGGCCAGTGGCGAATGTAAATACTTGCCCACCCTGAAATCCAAATTTCATTCGGTTAATTATTTATTTTATTGATTATAGCCACCATGAAATTTTATTTGTATCTACCTCAAACAAAAAGTTTATGTAGTTAATAGATGTGTGCCCACTTTCAAAAATATTTTTGAATTCGTCGGTCAGGCTATATAATTACATGTTTGGAAAAAGAAATAGGTTAAACTATAGTTGAAACTAATTATATATTTGAATGAAATTGGAGATGAAATTGAAAGATTGAAGAGTTTGGGGGATCACTGCCAAAATGAAATTGGAGATGAAATTGAAGATGGCATTGTGTCAGTGTGAGGGATTTTTTGTTCGTGATTCCAACACTACTGCTGCCTTGTATATTGCTCGTGATCCCGGAAACATTAACTAGATGGTATGAAATACATAGTTTTCTTATGGGAGAGTAGCATGAGTTTTCGTTCAGGGTTCACCCTCTATTTAAAACAATATATTTGATGATGTTATAGGTTCATGATTACTTTTTATTCTTTTAATTGTATTTAAAGTTTTTTCTTAATAAAATAATAAAAACAATGTATTTGATAAAGTTTAATTATGTTTTTATGATTTTTGTCACACCCCATAATTGCATTATAATATAATACATAAATATATCTTATATCACTATAAATAAACTAATAGCACTATAAATAAAAAAATAAACATTATAAATATTATAATAGCATTATGAATAAAATATAATGAAGTGGGAGACAATGTCATAACCACTTAGTTTTTTATTGTAAACATTAAATGGTGGGTTTATATATTATTAGGAGATAACCCATTAAATCTGAAGAAAAAAAAACCCTCTCCTCGTACAGAACCAAAAACTGA